CAGATAGAGGCGGGCTCCGTTGCCGTCGTGTTGATCTCCTGAACGCAGTGGAGCTTCTCGGCACAAATGGGGCCTTCCTCGGTGGATGTGGCAATGTAGCCGTACGAGTCGACGCACTGGTTCTGCTCGCTGCATTCGCCAAACTGGGGGACAGTGCCGGATGTGGCGTTCGGGTTGGCCGAGTTCTGGCAAGAGGTGAGGTCTTCGGACTTGCACTGGCACAGCTTCTTGTCCTTGCCGTTCTGCTTGCCCTGAGACACGCACTCGAGCTCGTAGCCGTTGAGTTCGGCGCAGTCATCGTCATCGCACTCGAGACTCAAAAACTGCAACACGCACTTGTCCGGGTTGTACTCGGTGCCCATGAACTCGGTGGTGCCGCTCACGGCCTGGACGGTAGTGCCGTTCGTGCCCACCGACATGGTGAGGTCGTCGTTCTGGCCAAGCGCGCATGAGGCGCCAAGGGCGAACAGGAAAAGCGTCTTGAAAGCCATAGCGGAGATCGGTGGCAAATAGGAAAATGCTGGGTTTTAATGGAGGGCTTTCCTCTGAAGCTGATCTTGCACTTTTGGGACCAGCTGCCGGTCGTGTGTACGCGGGCCTCTGGACCGACTCTATACCCGTCTCGTCTGTCTGCAGACGCAGATTTTTTTTCGTTGTTGCCAAATCACTTGCGTTTTGTAAGGGAGGGGGAATATTTTTGAGTTGGAAAAGAAAGGTTTTCACTGTTTGCAAAAGTTTGGTGATGTGGATTGATGCATGTCACGCAAAGCTCCTGGTCGATCTCAGTGCTTTCCACTGTGCGGCTGAGTGTTTCCTGCCAGTGTTGAATTGTGCCGCGGCTTTATAAAAAGCCGCGGCTTTATTATAAAGGCACTCGTTATAGTGGTTCGTGCAGCCTTAACTTAAAGTTGTTTTAGCCAATCTGAGACAAATATGGTTGCTGTATTTCAGTTTCAGAAATTTCAAGGAAACTTATTTCTCTAATTTACCGTATTCGCTTAGATACGAATTTGAAGTGATCACGTTAAGTACGACAGCGGAGGGCCTCATATTTCCAGAACTACACGACGCCAGAAGCATCCAGACCTCGGGCGGCGCGATCGGTGAGCCCTGCACAGCTGGACCGCACACGGAAGCGCGAGGAGAGTTCCATCCGCAGCCCTCCAAGAAGACTCGCTTATGAGTGAGGCAGAGGGTGCGCCGCCACATGGTTAGGATAAGCTGATCTGCTGCAGATACTGTTTTAGAATTTTCTAACCTTTCTTATACA